TTGATGCAAAGACGCCAAATATTTCATGGTTCCAGCTTCTCAAATGTCAAGATTTTCCTTAATGTTTATGTTTTTTAAAATTATTTTTAACATTTGGACAAAACAAACTGTAATCATGACAGCATTTCTTACTATTTTAAGCATTTTTACAGACCAATTAATCAGCAGATTAATGCATAATGAAAAAAGTTGCAGTCCGATACAAAAGAGTTAAAAAAAAAAAAAAAGCTCTATCTCAACCAAGTACTACAGTAAAATCCTGCTTTTACATTGATGTACATGTACAAATGACAATCATCTAATAACACCATACAGCCCAGCTGCCAGAAGAAAATGTTGGCATTATACACTTCTGCAACCACAGGTACGTTAACGTTACATTTGTGCTTTTCATCCCAGCATTTTCAAATTGACAAATTATATGAGCTGACTTTGTCGACAGAAGGTTGAGTAAATGGTAAATGGTGTGTCACCTGGGCAAGACGCCTGCCGAGCTGCAGACCACTGTTTGACACCAACCCATTGCTGTGTGTCCTGTGGAGTTTTAGGCACAAAAAGCATTTATTTTTTGCAGAGACAGAGAGAGTTGCTGCTTTTCCTGCCATGATCCCTATTAAGAAGTATTTCAGATACTGGGGACATTTTTCTGCATTGAGTTCTTTTATTATTTTTTTATTAATTACATTTTCCTTTTGACACTTGCATAGTTTTTACCGTGTAACAGAGAATTTCTACAGTGTGGTATTAGTACTTTTACTTAAATAGAGGAAATGAACACCTCCTCCAGCACTGCCTACAGGTGGAACTGAACACAAGCGTTTGCCTGCAGTGCTGAGCTTTCAGGATATCCATTTAACAATTAACCACCTCTGAAAAAAGATAGATGTACGATAATGCTCGAGGCTTAATTTTATATCACCCATCAGTTGTTAAACATGACTGTCACATGGCTGAGATAGGTATCCACTCCTCTGGCTACAAATTCAATTAGCTACATTGAGGGGAGCGCTCATCTCATTTACTGGCTTAATAGGTTCTATAAGGTGATGTAAGTGCTGTAAGAGTGTGTTTCATCAGTCCGTGTGTTGTGGTAAGTTTATAAAAGTCACTTATAGCGGTTAATGTTTGTCAGCAGCATTAATTTTCGCTCCGAGTTGTCTGCGCACCAGCTAAAGGCTACGATACTGATATCATTCATCTTTATCATGGCTAAACATAATGTCATTTCACATCAGGAAAGTTTTCGGTTCACCATAGACTTGATGAGATCCAGCAGCCTCCAGCCAAAACAAATCACATCTCACTGCAGCGCTCCCCCACTGCTAAATCTGAGGGGAGACACTGGGTCAGATATCATCTCAAAAATAAGGAAACATCCCTCCTCTAAAATAGTCTCATTTGAATTATTTAAGCGGTTTATTAAACAATTTCCATTTCCTCATACATAAGACATGATAATTAAGCTTAAAATGCATTATTTTTTTTTCCTCCCCCCCGTCTCATGATGGTGACACCAGATCTGTGCTAATGGGACTAATGAAAAATGTAATTTTACTCACCATTAGTAACCTGTGACCTGTTTTCCATTATTGGAGCTGCATTACCCAGCCAACGATGTGAGCAGGAGGTTTTTATAGAAGCAAAAATAAATAGGCTATGCTTGATAAACTTTACAGTCCGCTGGTTCAGGCGAGCATTAAGCTGGAGGGAAATGTTATTTACAAGTATTGTAAGAGTTTAAAAAACCCATTATTATTTCTGAGCTGTACTTATTTTCAAGACCTGTGTAATATTCCTATCAAGACTGAGGAAGTCTGTGGTGGAGTGTAGTGACCTGTATGTGTTATTTGTTCATATGAAATGTATATATTCCCTATAATATTTGAAACATTCCTATAACTCTTGGTCTTGTTCCGTCTTCTTTATATGTTAGCCTGTATCTAAAAGCTGGGGTGGGCAGAAATTTGGAAAAGGAAAAAAAGAAACTGCAGGATTTGAAAATACACCCGCCTACAGCTCTCCCCTCTCTGTCCTAAGCCCCTCCCACCAGACGACCACGGGAATATGCACACGCTTCATACAGTCACCCAGTGTTCCCCCATACACTGATTTGTTTAATCTTATTTCTTTTAAGAGCTCTCTCTCTCTCTATCTCTTTCTCTCTCTGTCTCTGTTTATCAGACCACCAATGAGAAAAGAATTAGCTAGCTAGCTCCCCACGGTCTCTGCACCTCGCTCCCCGCTGCTGAAGACTACTTCACTCAGAGGAGAGCAGGCAGCAGCTCAGGAGACACACCTTCCATTGGCAGCTGTAACGGTTTGAATTTGGCCAGCGCAAACCCTCCAGCACTGGGAGTCACAGCGGGTTGCTGGCTAGCGGTAGTGTCAGGTCTACGAACTAAATTAAGGACCAATTAGGACAACACTGACTAAAAACAATATCAGCTCACATCAAGATGCCAAGGGACAATTTGACCCAAATGTTTATTGTGACATGTAACATGACTTTTTTGGTCCGGTTAAAAAGTTAAATGTTGTTCTGCAAATTTAGATTTTCCTCTTCTTTTTTAACTTTTTCTTGAGTGGACACATGGTTAACCGTGAATATATCATAAGAGCCTGGTCTCACTCCGAAGTCGTCGAAATCTAGCACTTCGGCGGTGACTTGTGGCATCAGATACTGACAAAAAAAGCTGTCCTTTAATCTCGGCATGATAAGCAGTCAGTCACCAGTCAGCTTAACGGTGCTCTGCGGTGTGTTTCTTGAAAGAAGACAATGCATGTAACAGGCAGAACTTGACACGGCGTCCCAGAACGTCAACAACCAACGCACCCAGGGTACCTTTCACATCGTATGTGGACGCGGAAAGTCCATGACCAAATGTCGATATGTGACGAGGTCGGAGTGAGAATGTGTTGATCATACAGTATCTGTTTGGTTTAGAAAAAGAACTACGGAACACTTGACATTCGTTGGCAAGTTTTCTTGGCGATTTTGTGTTTTGTTTTTTTGTCGAACATCAATAGTGATGGCTTGTCTTAGATCTCCCTAGCTAAACTAGCTATGGATTACAGATTGAAAAAAAGTCTTGGAAGAAAATAGAAAATTTAACAGTCCGTGGACATATCTGTTTGCTTTTACCATCAACACTGCAAAGTTAAAGTACCAAACAATCATAAATAGCCGCCTTGTGGTAAAACATATTAATAAATGCACTTTTAGATCTATTAATAATGTCAATGGGCGAATTTTGACTGACTGGTATCTTCATTATAAGGCTCAAATATGTTCTGCAGCTCCTGGCAGATTATTTGACAGCTTTTCTGGCCAGATAGTAAAGGTTGCTGACCTTTGTAACAGCAGCAACAGAAAGTTTGCTGATCCAGCGGGGAATCAAGGCTGCCTGGTTCCCTGGAGCTGGGGTTTGCCCTGGCTGGATTCAGGTTGCTGCGGCCAATGACGGGGGGTCAGTCTCCAGAGCTGTTGCCTGCTTTCCTCCCAGTGAGGTGGTCGTTAGCAGTGGGAGGTGAGGCTGGTGACACACTGTGATTCGAGGCTCTAGGTAACATTAGCTACACAAATGTGAACTTGAAGCTGCAGCTTTTGCCTTCAGTTCACTGAAGGACAAACTATTAACAACATTTTCTCTCCATCTCTGAAATGCTTCACAGAAAGTGACTTGTTTTATTTGGTTTATGTCAGACTCTCTTTTAGACTTTTTTGATGAAGCCGCTTCCTTTTCTGGGTTGCTTTGCAGTGTAGGCAGTTGTTGCTAATGCTGGAATATCAGCTTTCTCTGCAGGATTCTCCTCCTCAGGCTTTCACCATCTGAAAAGACGTGTATCTGCATCTGTAGAACAGCCAATAGGAACGCCCTCTCTCTGAAATGACCTGTGATTGACCACTTCTCCCGTCACGGGCTAGATTTTCTAATCCCAGAAAACAGAGCCAAGAGGAGGTGCAGATGACTAGATTTCTCTCAGTCCACTTTAAGTACAATATGCTTAAAATTAATTATGGGATTTTTGCCCAATGATCCCTTTAAGTAGCTTCCACTGCTGTAGGCTGCTCAACAGACAGACTGTTGCATTTGTCTCATATAATGTGTACTGTACAGCAGCCTCCCCTTGTAGATGTCATGTTTTTGCATTTTATTTTGCTGACTCAGTTACGCAACCTATCTAGAGGTTCAAGGCACCAAGGTGAAGAGATTTCAGTCGGAAAATCACACTTGCACATCATCAGCAGAATATTCATAATACACCCACATCAGAATGGCTTCTCCCACAATATCCCCTCAAACCAGAGGCCGCAGCTTCCCATGAGGAGCTGTTTTTAAAAACATATGTCCAGACTTATGTTCAAAGAAAAACACTGCTTGTAAAAATATCAAAAAAACTTCCACTCTTTTGTGTATTTTATGTCTGGTTTTTAAGACACAAATTGTACAAAAATGTGGAGAGAGTAAGAGGTTATCAGAGAGACTTTATCCACATCAACCATGTCAGTGTCTCACTGGGGTAAAAGAGACATAGCAGAGACAGATCAAAGACTGATCTCATCAAAAGGAAGGAAATAAAGACGGCTGCCTATGCTACTGTGAACCCAAACCACAAGTATGTGCAGAGCTGCAAATAGAAGCTTAGGGTATTTCAAAAGAGAGGTGTCCTGAAAGGCGCGTAGACAAGAAAGAGAGATGCTGAACACCTCGAGAATACAAATGGGTAAACAGAGACAGGCAGACAAACAGACACACAGCACGGACAAATATACAGAGAACTAATAGGTTATGGATCTCGTGTGGGAATACAGAATGTGCAGAAACAGACTGAGAGTCTTTGCAGTGAAAACATCACGCCATTTACAGCTCCCCCGTCAGGAATACTGAGTGACCAATAAAGAAAATGGGAAAACACAGAGCGGCAGACATCAACAGAGAGTGTGTGTGCGTGCACTCTAATCAGCAGTTAGTCTCAACAACTTGTCTTGATCCTCTCACCATGTGATGAGGCCGGCGGCGACGGCGGACCAGGTGACGCAGCAGGAGTTGGGCTTCTTGCTCTCCTCCTCTTCATCTTTGTGGCAGCAGCACAAACAGCTCAGATAGATGGCCAGACACAGGAGGTTGAGGCCGAGCCCCGCAGCTGCCACACAGCCCAGGAATATGAGAGACTACAGAGAGAGAGGAGGGGAGATGACACGATTTAAAGTTTCTCTACGGACACTGAAAAATATCGTAAAAACTCAATTATGTTTATCAAAATTACACATTTAGAAGTTTTGTTTCATGATAAATAACTTTGATGTGACTCTAAACCTTTGCCTCATTTAGTATGCACAAATCTATGAATGAATCTATGCATATGCCCAAAAAGTTTTCTAGCTTCCGGGTTGGCGCCCCACTGAATATGCAGCGTCATGTTCCTCCCACTGGCCCCGCCCACCCCTAGAGTTCCCACACGGCTCATAAACTTTACATTGTGATGATGTCACAGATTTTTTAATTGCTTTTCTCGGTCCACAAAAGTTTCACAAATATAAAACCACCATGGCTCAAAAATTCACAACAGAAGGATTAATAATTGATTAATTACAATGTCAGTCAATGGGGAAGGTGTTTTTTGAGCTGCAGGGGATTTTGTCACTGCAATTCCATTAGTGGCCACTAGGAAAATTTGCTGCAAGGCTGAGCATCTTTCCTGGGGCCCTGGTGCCTGCTCATAAAACACAAACCTCTGCCTGTAAATGGTACGAGCTAACATGAGCCTTCAGCTTGACTGCGTTATCAAACAGCTAATAATGTGTTGTTAATGTTATATAAACTTTGTTCCCAATCACGAGCCCCAGCAAATTAACATGAAAGTAAAACTTTGCTAGCAAAATACTGATGTGTAGCTACCCCTGTATCTCCTCTGATAACCTGCAAGTTGATGGGATTGGGTCCTTAGGTTTGTGACGTTACAAACCCCAGAAGTCAGAATCCATGTTTCTGATAGTTACTGGTAAACTGCAGTTCCAAGGTGGAAATGCTAAGCCATGACTCTGACTGCTTAATTTGATCATGTTGTGTAGCATATATAAAAACAGTATGTTAACAAGGTTAAAGCTTGATTTTGTTGAACACGTGCTTCCCAGCATCAAACATAAAGAAATTCCTAGCTTTATATAACTTAAGCTTTTGGGAAATATAGGTTCACTCCCCTATGAAAGGCAATGTAATTATGTTGATGTATAATGCACGTTATGTGGCACATTTAATTACAAGTAAATTCAATGTGCTTTACGTTAAAATTAGATCAGATTATACTGAATCGTCATTCCACACAGTACAAATGCTGAGACAACTAAATGCAGTTTAACATCTAACCAGAAGTGCAAACAGGAAAGTACAGAGTGATGTCCATACATATAGTGGAAATCCCAAAACCCAATACCTATGGATCTGTCAACAATAAAAGCTCTGAGGGAAACTGACAATATCCAGGCAAGGTTTGTCATTCTGGCTAATCTCTATAAACCTTATATGAATGCAGACATTATACTGAAGCCAGTGGGTTCCACCTCTCCACACTGTAGGCTGTAAAAAATAATGGACGTAGACACCATAACGTCCCCCATTGATTTGTGGACTCAAGTTTTGAAGGCTTGAGTTACGCATTTTGGCTGTCGCCATCTTGGATTTTTTGAGCCAAAAGTGACTAGATTTGGATGAGAGGGTGGAGCTGTGGAGGAGGAAGGGGTGGAACTGACCACTCAGCTGAGGTGACGCATCACAGATCACAATATGCAAAACTTCAAGCATTAATAAATCAGAAATGGTTGAGCCATTTAAATATTCACCCCCCGTACAGTTGTCATGATTGGTGAAATTAGCTCTGGTGACAATTTTTTTTTTTTTTTTGTACCAGGCTGTAAACATGTTTACCGCTGCTGTAAAGTTGGGGATTTTAACATGGGGGTCTATGGGGATTGACTCGCTCCTGGAGCCAGCCTCAAGTGGCCAGTAGAGGAACTGCAGTTTTTGGCACTTTCACGTGGCTTTATGTTTCAGCCCCGGAGACTGCCAATTGGACTGTTTCCCTTCCTCTCAAACATACAGTAAGTGGTTAATACAACTCAGACTACAATAGACAACAAACAGAATGCTTCTGATACCAAAATCTTGTCCATTGTCTTCAGATTCTGCATACATTTGCAGATACCTGTTTACAGAGATAAGTTTAGGGGTAATAAATAGAATAAACAGTAGGTGATGGTTTAGAATCCCTTAAGATATGCGCAGCAGTTGCCTGAGGTAAACTGAATCAAGCGCAGAATACACTACATTGTCAAAAGGATATGGACACCTGAACAACACACCCATATGTATTCTCAGTCTAAAACCATAGGTGTGAATATGATGCTATGACAGTCTCCGCCCTTCTGGTTCCAGATGTTTGTACCTGCTGCAGGGATTTGGTCCCATTCAGCCACTAGAGCATTACTGAGGTCCGACACTGGTGTGGGATGATCAGGTCTGGCTTATGATCGATGTTCCAGTTTGCAGATACCTCCTCATGGCAACAACACTCCTAGATGGCAGTGCCCCCCCAAGCAGGACAATGTGCCATGCCACACCACAAAAACTGCTCAGGAATGACCCGAGGAACGTGACGAAGAGCTCAAGACATCGACCTGGCCTCCAAAGTCCCCAGTTCCCCATACGACTGAGCACCTGTGGGATGGGCAAATACCCCAGACGCACTCCCATCCACGGTGGGGTCTCGACGGATTGGACATAGCTCTGACATGTCAAAGTATGCACACAGGAAGTCTGGGGATTCCCCGTGGTGTCTGGCACCAGGCTCTTCATGGCAGATCCTTTGAGTCCTGTGGGTTGCAAGATGATGTACCAGCATGTCCCAAGGATGCTCGATTGGGTTTGGATCTGGTGAGTTTGGAGGCCAGGTCGATGCCTTGAGCTCTTTGTCATGTTCCCTGGATTATTCCTGAGCAATCATCACTTACGAAATACTCGAAGTGTGTGGTGTTGTATTTACCTGCAGAGACTCTGCCCTCTGTCTGTATTTTCTTATTTCCTTCTTATTTTCTGTATTCAGGATGTTTATGGACGTGTACTCAAGAGACACAGTGCAGACAGAAACACAAATATAGTGAGGTAAAATTCCACATAGGAGTGAATCTGAAGTTCACTGGCGAGTGTCTTACAGTTACCGACAATCCTGCTTAGTATACATGTTCAAAAATATCCTCATGAGAAAGTACGATAAAAGTATTGTCACCAAAATGTACTGAGGTATCAAAAGTAAAATTTAAAACTTTGAGTTTGTCAGACAAACAGACGTGGTAAAAGCCGATCTCTCTGCTGAATGTCTCTGTTATCACAGCATCATAATGTCAGGATGTCCAAACAAAATATTTCAAACTCACGTCAACAGTCACTAGTGCCGAAATCTGACACACAAAAAAACTCTAATAACCTAAAACCTGCTGCATTCTGGGAGCTTGTTATCCTCAGTGTCTCCAGCTAGAGAGCAGACACCTCCTCATACATCTCTGCATCTCCTTCTCTCACTCTCATTCCTCCTTTAGCCTCCCAATCCCACCTTTTGCAAGAGATGGAGTGTCGTGACAAAAATAGCAACAAGACTGTCCTAACAGCCTCAAATGAATTCTGCATCCATCTGTGAGCAGATGGGTTTATTCAAGCTTTTTTTTCCCTCCCCTTACTCTTCCTTTTTTTAGTTTGTCTGAAATCTTTCTGGTGCCGAGCCATCTGTTCTCCTGCTGTGATGTTGTGTGTCCTGCAAGTCAAGTAGTGGGATTAAAATCCAGAAATGGAAGAATCGGCAGGATTATGTCAGCGATTGCTATAAAAGAGGCAGGTAAATCGCAAATTGAATAATCCTCCAGAAGCCTTGAAACAGCTGTTTATGTCTTCTGACACGGTCCCGCTGCTGTTGGCTTTAATTATTATAAAGCAAATATACAAGTGCAAGGTATTTACAGGTATAGTTATTACGTGTTCACTCATTTCGCACTTTAACTCTTCCTTTTTATCCTTTGCTCCCTCCCCCCTGAAAACAATCTATCCTTGCTCCTCTCCCCGGCTCCATCTGTTGAGGTGCTGTGCCTCATCTTGTCCCATTTCACGGCTACATGCCTTTCATGTAGATGGCCGCACATCTGCTGACAAAGAGGGAGAAAAAAGGAGAATGCAGGAGCAGTGTCAAAGGAAAGGATGGGGCAATCTCCAGTCAGCGACCCCTTCAACTTTCCCATATTCTCCTGTGCCCCATAAAATAGGTGTGGAGATTAGTGGGAGATTTAGCGCGGCAGTTTAAGAGACGGGACTGTAAATGTGTTAATGGCTGTGCTCAGACAGATGGATGGCAGCGTGCACTAAGGTGAGACAAAGAGACGCTCCCGTGTCTCATCCGAGGGTTTGGAGTGATGAGGGTGGCGTAAACTGGGTGTAATTGAGGTGAACACGGTAAATGAGATGGAGATGTGGGGGCGCAGGTGGGTGATATGAACGTGTGTTAAGGGGGATGGGTGGGAGACGGCCTCAGATTGTTCGACAGAGGAGAAAAGAAGGGGGGAAACTCCCGCTGAAGGCGCAAACAGTGGGCCACCCAGTCGCTCTGATCGTCATGGTAACATGCAGGTTAGTTGGTGCCCTTGCGACAGGGAGGGAGGGACGAGTGAAAGGGCGAATTATCACAGCCTATTTGAATTAAGCAGCATGTGACGGGCCTGCTTAAATTGCCGTGCCTCTGTCTTGTGATTCCTCTGCAGCCAGGCAATGCAGAGAAAGGAGGGAATGTGGCAGAAAGAAGGGGGAGAACCAGTGAGGAAAACTGTTGAGGGACCTGGCTGGGGCTCCTCAGGGCTCCCACGGACCATCAAAGGAAAAAACTTTGCCTTATATTATCTTTTACTAAGTTTCATGGAGTTTAAGCCTCTAAACCTTTTGTATAATCTAAAAGTTGCATGGGACCTTAGGTAGGGTTTATACTTCTGTGATGAATCAACAGTATACCTGATGAGCACCTTCCCAGAAACGCAACTATACGCCACAAAGACCTCTTGTTTATTTCTTTAAGATGAAACCATTTCCCTCAGTGGAAACAACGCTTTTATTTAATTTCAAGAAACAATAAATTGTGAAG